TTGTAGTCTTCGTTGCGGGAATTTGAAGGGGGTATAGGGTATTACCTAGTCGGCCCGATGATTCTGACTTCTTTTATTTTTTGTTATCGTATACTATATATATATTTACATACATATGTAGTTGTTGCAATCCCCCGTGAGCTATTGGAGGTGAAGTCAAGTGCCTTATCCGAGGCGACGACCCCTGGATGTGCATCTGGATAGTCAAATATATATATCAAATATATATATATATATATATATATATATATATATATATATATATATATATATGTACACACACACATTTGCTGGCAACATATACTCGATTGAACGCTCGGACAAGTCGAGCCTTCACAGGACATTGGCTTGTTAAAAAGTCCCTACAAAGAACAGCAGAATGGGCAGGAAATAAGAGTCGCTGAAGCACTTCTTCTGTAATCGCCAGGATATAAGTTAGAGCTGGTTTGAATTCCTGTCAGCCTCTTAGCTAGTTTATCTTTTCGCCCTGGACAAAATGGTTGGGTCTCTTTGGACCTAGGCTACGTCGCGAATTGGAAATCGGGAGCATACGGGCCATGCAACAGCTTGTTAAAAAAATATATTCGGTTTCCTTTGGCTTTATTTTCATCGTTTATAATTCTGAAGTGGTTTGAGCTATAGACTGAGAAGAATACCCTGTAAATCGAGAGTCGGTTGGAAAGTCCAGCAATATCTATACAGACAACTTGTTCCCTCTTGGTGTTTACATTTTGTTGTTATTCTTGGCTTTTAAGGTTTTTAAGCATTGAACTTGAGCCGCCCATTCTCATTTTCATTTATTTTTGATTAAGCCGGCAAATGCCGGGTAATACCAGCTGGTATAATCGCTCCTCCTTTGGGCGAGGTTAGTGCCGTCAGCTGAGCATTTGTGTTCGTTTTCTGCTGCTTAACATTTTTTGAGTTCACTTTTAGACTTTATGTGCATGCCAGTGTATATGTGTGTATGTATTGTTGTATGTGGATGTACGTCTCTTATTGTTATTGTTATTTTTATTGTTATTACCATTGTTGTTGCTGACATTGTGGCAGCACAGAGCTTTTAATTAATTTGTGTCTGCTCTGTGCGGATGTTGATCTTCGTGCTGATACCCTTGCTGAAGGTATTATAACTTAGTATGGATGTATGCGACGTTTTAAATGAGATATATAGATAAACATAATGCTGATTCGAAATATCCATAAGATCCTACTTTTTATTGCAGATATGAATATATTATGTACCGAAAATTTATCTGCAAGGGTATTATTATAAATCTATGGCAGCTCAAAGAAAACTTTTCTTTTTACATGAATAGCTCAAATAAAGTGTATTCTGGTCGGTTCCGATATATATTTAAGAAACCCTTTTGTTTTTTTAATATATCGTAAACAAACTAGGTAATAACGTTATTCACTATTCCCCTCAAATATCTGCAAGCTTCTCAGCCATATAGAAGGGTATTTAGTCTTCGGCATGCCCAGGATAGCCGTGTTTTCGTGTTAAATATTTTCTTGTATTTGATTGACTGTGTTAATGCTATGTGTACGTATATATGTGGCATGTATTCCGTATATATATTACATAAATAATATCTCCAAAATTATTTTGCTACGCATCTGTAGAACAGGTACAATAACGTCCCGAAATATTAGTCATCAAAAGCTGCGCCACTAACAATAATATGGTTACAAAAAAAGGCAGATCTGCGGGCAATGGAAAGGGCGCGGGGTCATGCCGTGTGAGTGTAAGCGACATGTGAGCGAAGGCGTTGCCCACAAACCAGTTAGCTGATTCATTTGGCTTGCAGCTGTTTTGGCTATGACCAAATGGTCAACCGGCCCGCTAAATGGGCAAGAACCTGCCACAAATTACCGACTGCTTTGGCAAGTTCACGCCAACAAGCTGCAAGCAAAACGCTTCAAGTTGGCTTTTCTGCTTGAGGAACATCGACATGTTAAAAGAATTGACAAACTAACAATATGATAATGTCAATAATACAGTGAAACGCACACTCCTAACAGGCGGGCAGCCCGCTCAGGCGGATTTTCCCCTCCTGGGTTCTCTCTATGGAAAGGCATACAGAATATATATATATATATATATATATATATATATATATATATATATATATATATATATATATGAATATTATTAATATGTAAGGAACATTTATAAATATATTTATATATTTAAATAATATATATAATTGGTCGTTAATTTCATCATTAGCCTAAATCACAACTGGGACAATGCATTGTCCAATGCAAAGTTGCGATACGGTCAAGCTAGATGGAATGACTAAAACGATAAATAAATTATATAAAAAATACGCACATTTTAAGAGGATAACGCCGTTGCCCTGTTGACTTCGATTCAGGCCGAGATTATTGCGCATCAGCGACTGGTGCGAATGCTGATGATGAGTGACATCCAGTGCGGATTTGATTATATGAAAGGCCATCATGCAAATGCATTACACGAAAGCCTATTATTAATTATTATTAGCTGTTGATTATATGAACTATATATGTTCCGATCAATTGTAGCCTATATAGTTGTCTTTTAGCTCTGCATATGCGTGTGCGTGTGTATGTGTGTGTGTGTGTGTGTGCGTGCTAAGTAGTAGAAATAAGTAATATAGAGCGGGTCATCTGATTATCGGCGTTGCAAAATCTGAGATCAGACGCCCAAAAAATACGAAATAATATTGCTTTAATTATTTCTAGTTTGAAATTTGTTAACAAATCGACAATTTTTTATGTATTTTAAAAAATAAAAATAAAAAACAAAATGCGCTCTACTGATAATGCAAAGACGTCGACGTCGTCTGCTAAGTTTGCAGCTGAAATTAATTATTGTCGATTTATTTTTGAATGCTCATGAGCATTAACATATACGAGTGTGTGCATGTGTATTTATGTTGCCAGCGACAACGACAACGACAACGCAGTGTAAACGCCTCCCCCGGAGTGAAAAGCAACAACAAAATTGATGGCCTTTGGCTGCGGCTGGGGTCAACGGGGTCGCCAGGTCGATTTTGGTGTGCATTGGTCATGGCGCAACAAGCATTGCAACAATGACAACAACAATAAAACACACACACACACGCACATAAACACACAGGTACAAACAAACACACAGCTACACGGACTCACAGTTATTCTTCAAGTTTTTCTTCTTTTTTGTTTTGCACTACGCTCGCATTCCCGAATAATTCACTTGCACTTGCACTTTAGTCATTGCACTCCCAATTCAACTTGTACAAAAAAATTAAAATAAAAAAACACAGTGCATGTGTGTGTGTGTGAGTGTGAGTGTGAGTGTGAGTGTGCACTCTATTATTTGTGGAGATAAAAACGGAACAGCAACTGGTGCGCTTCAAACGATAGCGCGGCGTGGCAAACATGCGGCAAGCACGACAAGATCGATTCTACTGAATCCGCTGTGCGCCGATGAATGGGAATGGAGCCCCCAAAATGAGCCGCCAACAACAACCACAACAACGACAACCGCAACAACAACAACAATAAGAGCGACTTATAAAAAACAGCAACGCGAAACTAAAACGACGACGACTACGCGATGTCCAACGACGCGCGAGCCAGTGGAGCATGTGCCACAAAAATTATCACGCTGGCTGCCTGCACATGCAGTGTGTATGTGTGTGTGTGTGTGCTGGTGTGTGTTTGGTGTCTGTGAGGGGGTGGCTGGGCATTTAAGTAGCATAGCATAAAAAACAGCCTGTTGCGCTCTTCAAACGCCACTATTGATTGCGGGTTAAGCCCAGCACTAAAAAGAAGCAAACACAAACAACGTATTAATTGCAGAATTTGACGACGTATTGTCTGGCAAATGGTTACAGAAAGTGCAGCTAGCCATGCCAAGCCGAATATTAAATACTCTATGCCTTATAATAAATCAGTCTAATGACAGTAACTTTTAAATGAGGGATGTGGTCAATATATCTTGGAAAACAGAAACGAATTGCATATAAGAACTTTATATTCGAAAGAGCATTCCAATTGGCGGCTATGCAAAGTAACAAGACGTTAGATTTGAACACTGATCAACAAGTCGACTTGTGTGTGGATACTTAACAGGACTAAATATACTTAATGGGATCGGAGATGGTCGCCTTCATGAGTCAAACATTTCGTGACAAAATCCTAATATAACCCGCAAGGGTATATAAAACATGTATTTTCCTATGCAGATCAAGTGGTTCTATATGTTTTTCACATAGTGTATTTAGGTACGTAAACACAAGCTGCTAGAAGCCAACGTCAATTGCAACTTTCATGCTCAATCCAAGTAACTTTGTCTTATTTTAAAACCAAATGCAACTAATTGCACATTTTAGCTAAGTTGCGCACCTAAAAGCAGCCACAAAATCATAAGAGTTTTTCCGCCCAAAAGTGTGCTACAGCTGCTAGAGAAGGCTAAGGCAAGCTATGTGTTCGTTAAGTGTGGAACAGCACCTTTAGCCAGCGCACACACCATAAGCAGCTTGCCTTAAGGACTGCTGCAGATGGCGCTAGCAAATACTAAAGTGTACAGCGCATACAACAGATGACGGAATATAGCCAGTTCGCAGTTTGGCCGTTTTTCCAATGTAGCGGCTTTTTGATTTAAATAAAAAACCGACAGTGCAATACTCTGTCCACAGCGTTAAGACAGTTTAAAACAACCAAAGCAATTTCGAAGAAACAGAAGTGACTTTTAACCTAAAAGTTTTAAGTTAGGACTTAAGAAAATATGAGCTTTTACATTTTGTGGTTGGGGAAGTGGGTGTAGCCAAGTTTTGAACCGAGCCGATTCGAACTTGGAATTCCAATTAGTTTAAGGATCAAACGAACCCTGGCCAAAGAAAAGGCCTGAGCGCAGTTGGTGGATTCGAAACGTGAACCAGCCCAAAAAGAATCTATATTTTCTTCAGGGATACGCAGTTTAAAGATAATTGGAATTGTGAAGTAACATCATTGACAGTGTGCGCACTCACCTGAGAGACCCGTGTCATTGATGCTGGAGGTGGATGTGGAGAAGCCGGGCAATTTGCGCCAGCCCTTGCGATTCCAGAAGCTGCGCGCCTTCGACTCGGTGGGCACACTGGGTCCGGGATCTTCGGCGGCGCGTATGCGAGCACAGCTTAGAATGCGGCGGCCGCAGGAGGCACGTGCCAAAATACTGGAATTCGAAGCGCCCCCAACTGCGGCAATCTGCGCTTCATCATAGCCGCCGGCGGTGGCACGCTGAAAGGAGCGACAGCTTTGAGTTGCGTAAGCAGCGGATGCGGTTGGCGTTTGGCGGGCGCACTTGATGTGATGCGTTTTGCTCAGCCGCAGGCTGCCAATGTAGCTGGCGCCGCTGCTGCCGCTGAAGCCGCTGTCCAGATCGCAGTTGGTGCTGCTGGTGATGGCGGTGTGCGGATGCGCATGCGAATGCGGATGCGGATGCGAATGCGTGCCTTTCAGCGTCGCCAGCAGCTGATCAATGCCGGCCACATCGCTGCTATCACAGATATTGTCCGCCGAAGTGGAGGTCAGCCTGGCCAGCACTGCCGGCTGTCCACTGGTCGCCGTTACGCACACGGTCGGACTGGGCTTGGGGGACGTGCCGCTGCCGCCAGCAGCAGAAACAACAGCAGTAACAGCAGGTGGACTGCATTTGGGCGGACTTTCTGGCATGAGCATGGCCTCAACGCTGAGATTCAGCTCCCCGAGTATCTTGTGATGGCGATGCTGCACGCGACGCAGCTCCTCCTCGACGAGCGTCTGACTGAGCGAGCCCGCCGAATGCGAACCGACGCTGCAGCCCAACTGCTGTGGCTGTGACCGTGGCTGTGGCTGCGCCAGCGTCTTACCTGTGGCCGCTGAGGATTGCAGGGCCGCCGCATTGATCTCCTCGTAGAAGTTCTCGCTTTGGCTGCTCGCCGTGGTCAGCTTGTGGTAACGCGTCTGGTACGATTGCAGCGTGGCTGGCGAGACCAGCTGCTTGTTCTTCTTGCCCTTGGAGAGCAGCGCGCGTATGGAGTTGGGCGGTGGCGGGCCAGCCTGGGCCTGAGCCTGTGACTGCGCCGCTGTACAGCAGCTGGCATTGGCGCCCGCAGAGCCGCCAGCTGCTCCGCCGCCCTCCGGCTTGGGCACATTTGAGTGGCGCATTGCGGCGCCCGGCTCGTAATAGGCATACGAGTAATCGTGCTGCTGATGATGCATATGATTCAGACTGCTCGCCGGCTGCAGTGCATTCCATTTGACCGCAGCCGTTTCGCTGCCATCGCGGCCCAGCGTCTTGCTCTGGCGTCCAATCACCTGATTGAGCTGATGATGCGGCGTCAGGTCCGGCTGCTCGTTACAGATTTCGATCGCATCGGGATCGGGATCCGGATAGCGCGGCAACAGCTGGCGACGCCCGTTGCCATTCACGGCCATGCCGCTGGCCACGCCCACGCAGCTGCCCAGGCTGCTGCTAACAATGGCCGCGACGGCAATCGGCGAGCTGCCAGCGGATTTGTGCAGCGGACTAGTCGCAGCCGGCGGCGGGTAGTCCGGCGGCGGAGGGAATTGCAGGCAGCCAGCGTTCTGTTTAGGCGCAGCCATACCCACGCCGGCGCCAACGCCAACGCCCATGGCCAGGCCCAAGCCTTTGCGCAGGCCATGAATGCCCTCCAGCTGTTGCTGTTGCTGCTGCTGTTGCTGCTGTTGCTGTTGCTGCTGCTGCAACTTCTGCTGCTGCTTGAGCCGCTGCAGCTGCGTCTGTTGCTGCGTGTAATAATTTTGGTTGGCAGGCTGATGCGAATGCTGATGCGGATGCGGATGCTGATGCGAGTGCTTCAGCTTTGAGTGCGTGTGCGTGTGCGAGTGCGAGTGCACGTGCAGCTTGGCCAGATGATGGGGATGACCGTGATGGTTGCTCGCGTTGCCGCCGCCGCCGCTGCTGCTGTTGTTGATGCTGCTGTTGTTGCCCAGGCCGCCGCCGCCGCCGTTGTTGCTGTTGTCGTTGTTGTTGTTGTTGCTGATGCTGCCGCTGCTGTTGTTGGTGCTGCTGCTGTTGCTGTGGTTGTTGCGTCTGCTGCCCAGTCCCAGGCTCTCCATGGCACATGTTGCCGCTTGCTGCTGCTCCCTGCTCGAACGGCGCTGTAATGAGTCGAGTTTAGCGACAATTAACTAAATATTTTAGTAGCTAAGTGGTAAAATAGCAGCTGCACGAATGCCAAAACCACTTCCTGAAACTCTAACTGCCAGTGGCCAACAGCGCCCAGCCGCTGGCACGCTCCACTGGCTGGGGCCAAAGCGCGAAGCATTCAAATGCAAGAGCTTGGAAGCGGCCACTCGCATTCCATTTAGCGCCCAGCCGCCAGCAGCAGCCATCAGCAGCCGGCGGCAGCCTGCGAGCACACATGCCGTCCCAAGTCCCTATGAATTTGCCCCAACACGTACCCACACCTCCCTCCCGCCCAAAGCGAGATTAATTGCTGCTAATTAAGTGGGTCTTTGGTTGGCAGCCACGAATCCCCAGACAGTGCCCGCTACTGGGCTTTAGTTTTTCTAATAGCAGCTTTTTATATTCGCCGTAGCATAAATTGAAAACAACAGGGCTGGCAAAAAAAATCCATAAAAATGTTGCACAGCAATGCGATGCTCTATACAAAAATGCCGAATACATGCTTGGCTGGCTGATACTCTGTAGAAAGAATTGAATTTACCTCAGTTTCTTAATCCCTTCGTATCGTATAAGGAAACGCATATAAGCTATGTATATGCAGCAGGTAGAATTGATTCTCAGTAGAGCACTCCAACTTGAGTTGATTTTAGAAATGAAAAAATAATAACAATAACAACACATTCCTCAAAGTATATAGGCTCAAGCATGATCCATATATGAAAAGAGAAGAACTACGAGAGAAAAGGAAGAGGAGGGAATCGTTATATTTTATTCTTAATACAATTAAAAATCTTTAATCAAATACACATAAAATGAAATATAACAAGTAACAGTTCTAGTCGGGAGCTCCCGACTAGGCGATACACTGAACCCTCTTCATACATCAAGTGCATATATATAATCTATTTTAGAAGCTTTATGCCAAGTTTGGTGACTCTAGCTCTTATTATTTACCAAAATTGCCCAAAAAAGAGGATATGGATATTGATTTTTATCGATTGCTGGGAAACGGAGTAAGTTATCGATTATTGGAAACAAACGGATCTGCGCAGGCACTAGGAGCACCTATATCTAAAATTTCAAGTCTCTAGCTCTTATAGGCTCTGAGATCCTTGCGTTCTTATACGGACGGACGGACATGGCTAGATCGACTCGGCTATTGATGCTGATCAAAAATATATACTTTATGTGGTCGGAGATGCTTCCTTCTGCCTATTACATACATTTGGATTTTGCACAAATACAATATACCCTTATACCCATTTTAATGGGTTCAGGGTATAAAAAGAAAAGCGTCTTAAGCGTTTACCTAAGTCCATGAAAATCGCATAGAAGGAGGATATTTGACACACAGACATAGACCACACACAGATAAAGCTACATAAACAGACCAGGCAGACCAAGATATATGATACTAAATCGGTCTGAAGATGCCATCTATTGCTTACCATACACATTTGCAAGACTTTACGAAATATGTAATGCGAAGCAACATTTCCTTTTGAAATAGTTTCCATGTAGAAGCCTTTACTATAGATCACGCTCATGTTCTGTACCCAAGGCTGTTGCAGAATTTATAGTGAGAGTCGCAGATTATAAACACATTTTTATATGGGATATATTGGAATAAGTAATAGTCGAAGCTGACAGGGGCTTACATCTGCTGTTTCGCTCAAGAGAAACAACTCCAAGCTGGCAACAGGCCAAAAGAGAACTAAAAAAATAATAATTTGCCAACGTTTTTGTATACATAATAATTTTACCTATTTTAGTACAGGTACAAGCGATACCCAGCTAAATGATAATGTCAGTGGTTTGGCAAGATTCTGGCCAAGATAAAGGACAGCGCAGACCGCAGGGGCAGCCGATCAGACAGCAGACGGAATATTGTGTAGAACATAATCAACTTGACGATGATAATGCCACCAAGTTATGACTGCATGGCACAGGTTGAAGTGCAGGCCGAGAGGGAGACAGAATTCAATGGTAATTTGAGTAGCTGCCCCTGATCTCTGGGTCTGTCTCTCTCACTATATTTGTCCTTGTCTCTAGATACGTCCGTCTGTCTTTCTGTCTGGCTGGCTGTCTGTCTGTCTGTCTGTTGCAGTAACCTGAGACGTCTCTGAGAACTCGAATGTTTTGGCCACTGAGACGTTGGAGCACTGCGCTCTGGTTGGCACAGCAGGTCGCCAAATTAGCGTTTAAATTTAGCTACTCGTTCATTGAATCGAAGCACAGCGGGAGTTCAGCTTGAATCAAAGCAACTCCGCTATGAATCGAAATTAAAGCCCTGAGCCGATAATCTTAACTCCTGGCCACAGCCTGCGGCTGCCTGCCACCAATTGCATGCACTTAAAGCTGCCACTGATGATGCCATTGCAACATCAGAGACCCCAAAAGCATTGTCAACAACAATCGCTTTCCTACAAAGCACAAAAAGAAAAAAAAGGAAAAGAAAGGAAGCTACGTACGAAAAAGCCAAACAGGAGCTGCAAGCTGTGTGCAAACCATGCTAGAGCTGGTAGATTTGGCAGCAAAAAGCACTCAAGCAGCCAGGGCAATGTTTATGCAGCTAAAATGTGCGTGTGTGCGCGTGTGTGGGCGTGTGTGTGCGTGCTCGTTAGTTTGCCACACTTTGTTTTTGTCTCTTCCGTTTTACCAGTTGCCTCTAACCGACGACCCCAACAGCATATATGATTTTTTATCTACACCCTGTATAAAGTTGAAGTAAAGTGCATAGCCGATCTCTTTTTAGCACATGTATTCATGATAAGAACCAGTTGATGCATGTCTTTCGTTCTCCTAACATTTGCGTATTCCTAAAGCAGATTATATTATTGTGATAATAGCTTTCTACTGTTAATTATATAAATCTAATTTCCGAGGTTCCAATTAGAGATGAACATGGGAGAGAAAGTTCGATCGCGTCCCGCCATTTTTTATCCCATCCCATTCCCATTCCCATCCCCATCCCAACGTTTTTTAAATCTATACAGTCCATCCAAATCCTGCCCAAAATTCCGTACAGCGGAACTTGCAGTAATTTCGGCAATTCTGCATATCTTAAAATCCATATCCATTCCGCCAAAACCCCAGCTCTTTTGAGACCCGCGGAATTGCAAGCCCATCTCCAATTCCAATATTTAGTTTTCGCTTTATATTTGTGTCTAGCTTGAAGCGCTTTAATATGTTAAGGCCCCTTAAAGCAAAGCTCCAAACTTTTCAACAAACTTCATTTTCATGCAGCAGAAGTAAAGTGCAGAGGATTACAGGGTATCTTCACGTCGACTGGCGCACACTTGATTTTTCATGGAGTGAAATTGCAAAAGAAAGTGAAGTGAAAAACATACACGATGGGAAAATCATCAACAGCTTCCTGGTCCTGGTGTCAGTGTGTGTGAGTGTGTGTGTGTGTGAGTGTGTGTGTGTGTGAGTGTGTGTGTGTGTGAGTGTGTGTGTGTGTGTGAGTGTGTAGTAGGAAGGGGGTGGTGGGGTAGTGTGGTTCGCTTGGGTTTCTAGAGACTGGCCAATTAGCCTGCGGTTGTAGCTCAAGACTTTCGCCGATTTCTGCTAATTAGAAACACCCGCAAAATATGTTGAACGCATATGCAAATAATGTAACTGCTTGAAGAGTCCGTCCTGGCAGCTGCGGATGCGGATATGTGTTAAAGTTGCCAGCGAGCAAAATGTGGTATTGTTTACTTTAAAGCGCAGACAACAAATGCCAAAGGGCTGTGCGGCACAGACAGACACGCTGGCAGACAGGGGGCGTGTTCTATAAGAACATGAATGAGCATAAAGTCGCGAATGGCTGAAGAGTTGGCGTGTTTTTAGTGTTTTTTTTTTTTTTTTGCAGAAGAAGAAGGGCTAACAATTCTGCATATATACGCTATATATATAAATAAGTTCGAGTAGATGCGTGCAGAGCAAAAAAAAAATAAGGAGAAAAAAAAGGGAGGAAAAAAAACGAGAAAACGCATTGCAATAATTATTCACAAAACGCGAGGCAGCAGCAGCAACAGCATGTTCTTCTATCATATTTACAATTTGTGTGTCGCCAATGCACTCAGGCCAACCCCAGGCCACGTCTGCCCCACACCGAAGCGGCCAGCTCTCCTGCCCGCCTCTGCGCAACTAAAGTTGCAACGCGGCAACATGCAAATGGAGCTGAAGCTGTGGCAAGGCAACAAGGCAACAAGGCGGCAAGGCGGCGAGGCGGCAAGCCTGATAGCATCAGGCGAGCGCGAACAAGTAATTAGAAAATATATTTAAGATGTTGCCTGCCTGCCGCGACTCCAACTCTATAGTCTGCGCCCCCAGCGGCTGATCGTCATCATCATCAGCAGCGTCATGGTCATCATCGTGATATTTATGCACATGCATTCTGAGGATGCGCCGCATACCAAATGCAGCTGCAACTGCAACGAAAGCGTCGGCAATGCCAAAGGCAACCCTCGGGCCTGTGCGCTTTATGTTTTCAATTGAAATATATGTGCACTTTACACACTGGCAATCATTTTGTGACTCTTTTAACATTTGAATTTTCATTTATAACCCAGGCGCACGCATATAACACATACCCTGCCGCAGCGCACTTCAAAGGGTATATGCTCAATTAGAGCTAAGCAATGCATATGAAGAACCTTTGGTTTCCATTTCGTACTCCATGTCCCAAGACCGAAAGCCTAAAAGCTCAATGCTAGGATTTGAATTTATTAAAAATAGATAACACTCTATAATAGTCATTTAAAGTAAGTTTAAATATTTTTTCAGAGCTGTAAATCTGAGCCAACCGGTTTCTATTTACCTTGGACGGAACCTTGAATCGGTTTGGTTGGAAAAGGATTAGCTGAACACAAGCCATGAAATTGTTGTTTGTAACATAAATCTATTAATATTTTCATGTGATAATCAAACATGGTAAGTAAACTAATTTATTATTGACTAATTGACGAAACAGAAGATGAACCAAGGTTTTGAGTTAGGTCTTGATTCATAAATGTGAAAGAGCCGGCACATTTAAAGGCATTGCAGAGGATACTTAACCATAAAGCATACATATTCTTTATCAGCATCAACAGTCGAGTCAATATTCTATGGGAACTAATCATTCATCTTCAAAGCTATCATTATGAAACTTTGCATATATACGTTTATTTGTTATCAGGCGATAAATATGTCGAAATTAGCCTGATCGGACTTCAATATTATATAACTGTCATAGTGATCAGTCAAATACATAGCTTGTATGAAAACTGTTTTTGTTTTTCAATATAACATATCTTGTGCAAACTTGGTAGTGAGGAGCTACTCTCTGCTCCATAAATACATATGATCATATCATGTAGTTCTTAAGAATCATTTAATAACAATTAACGCCCTTTCCTGTAGCGCAATACATGTACAATTGGTACAATTGGTAAGGTCTGTAACTATTGACGAGATCTTAATAAGCCGTCTTAGAACCGGACAACTCATGTTACCGCCTAAGGAAAAAGGTTAGCCCACACACTGTCATAGATTCTATAGACTCCTAGTAAGACTACCAGAAAAGTGTCTCTGTAAGTCAGCTTCAGTTTCGGCCAAAAGCCTGGAACAGTCTCTTTAAGTCGATAAGCGGACTGCACGAGTGAGCTCTAAAGGATAAATCTGTCGTCATTAAATTTGCTATTCGAAGGGGTATTTAATGTTCGGCGTGGCTTTTTTGTGATCAATTGCATTTCTGCAAAGCGTCAGAGTCAGCTGAGAAATGCAATGCGGGTGATCTGCTTGCCGATAGAATTGCTCGTTAATTTACAAATTAAATGAAACGCGCAATTGTCATGCTATATACATTTGTATCTTGAGGGGCAACACAGCGAGAACGAGGACTCAGTGGCTAATTAGAGCTGGCAAATTGCCGACAGCAACAGCAGCAACAGCGGCAGGAGTAGCAAAATCTTCATGCATCACAGTTTTATAGTTGGCTATTGCAGATGCCACCCCGGTTGTCAGTCGCTTTCGCTTATTGTTGGGTGCATTGACTTACACTACACTGGCGTCGGTGCATCTTGCTATCAAGCCGTTTATTTCTGTCATCATGTCCCTGCGGCTACGCGACGTATGCGTGATGCATTGTCAACAAGTGCGCCAATGACAGCCCCGCTCCTCTGCCACAGACAACAAAGAGCCAGCAGCAGCAGCAGCGAGACAAGCAGGGTGCTTCTAGTTTGCAAAGCATTCCGTTCTGTGCGAGTGATGTGGCAACATAAAAAGCCACTAGCTGGTTGCATATTTGGTTGACTTAATGCTTAGATTCTTTGGCTCAGATAGATGCGAATGGTGTGCTCTATCTTGGGCAGTTGCTTTGTGTTCCCTTACAAAATGCTGCAGTAGCAGCAACAACAGTGCCATGTGTCTCTTTTTAGCACTCACCCACGCCCACTTTAGGCTCTCATCGAGCCACTCAGCTGAAATATCAGCTCTCCCTAAGCTCTAATGTATACGTCGGTGTGTGTACAGACATAAGTAAGTTGTTTTTTTTATGTATATCCTGTACCCATTACAAATAGGCGAAATGGGTTTTGTCTAGTTGAGCTAGCCAGACCGACATGATGAACGACCCTATCTAGCATTTGGGTTGACATTTATTTTTGTTAATATAAATCATTTAATGATTTCAAGAATAAAGCTAATCAAACGCATTTGCCATTTTTTTTTTTTAATTATAAATATATTCTGATAGTTACAGCAGAAAAGCATATCATATGCATTTTTACTAGTTTTTTTTTTTTTTATTAGTCTGAAAGCAAAAATTCTTATAAAAGTGACCCAAGGAAGATGTTGTAATAGATAACCAGCTACAAGGTATCTGCCAGTCGTAACTAGCCGACAACAGAAATAATTTTTTTCTATTGCATACTTATGCTTATGAAAGGCATTGCAATTTCCCCCTCAAAGCAACAGAGAATGCTACAGTTAGGGGAGAAAGGAAGACACACAGGGGCAGAGTGAAAGAGAAATGAAGTGAAATGAGGGGGAGTGGTATCTATAGATACATATATGTGTATGGATATGATGACTCTATGCACATGCTAAAGTGTCGTTTTCATTTAGTCAGCTTCTAAATAAGTTGCTTTCACTTTTCCGAGTTGGCTTTGGATTTTGCCCCTTGGCATCAATTCAATATTGGCTCGAAGCTTTAGTTTGGCTATTCTTGAAGCTTTGAAACTCTGGAAAAATTCAAACGCAATTCTCTAGCAGATTTTTTGTGCACTTGTATGTGCCTGGGTAAGTTGCGAACGCCAGCGCTGACTACTAAATACTGCTACTGCTCCGCCTGGCAGATAAACAGGCCATGTCCTCGGTGGCTGATGTTGTGCTGCAGTTTCTGCGCCGCACAAAGAGTGGCTTCATGGAGCTGTTCGGGCAGCGTCGTCTGACGGGCACGGAGCAGGAGCCCGAAGAGTTCGTGCCCGAGCTGTTGGATATGCGTCAGCTGGAATTGCGTGAGCAAGCACAGGAAATGGAAATGGATCTATATTCCATCTCGTCCAGCGATGATGACGAGGTGGAATACTATATCTATAATCAAGACGAAAACATCAACACCACTCGCGAGATAGATCTTACCGCCAAAAAGTTGGTACGCCCGCCCGTTGGCTACCACTGCAAATAGCCAATTCGAAGGGAATGGGGTCTCTGATTGGGCGATCTGATCTGTTGCATAATTTAATTCGTTTTTAATGTTGCCCATCAATTTATTAATATAAAGCAAACGTATTTTTGTTTGATCAGCAACTTTCACTTGTTTGTTTCTGTCTTGCCGATTGCGGCTGCTTGCTTGGGTCTATTTTTAGACTGGTTGAATTGGTTGAAATGGTTGAACAGGCTCTGCAGCTTGGCAGCTCTTGACGGCAACTTGGCATTAGTTGAACAACTGGCTCGTTGGTCTAGGGGTATGATTTCCGCTTAGGGTGCGGGAGGTCCCGGGTTCAAATCCCGGACGAGCCCAAGTCTGGTATCTTCTTTTATTTATTTTATTTATTTTCTTTGTATCGTTTTATGTAAATTGAACATTTTTGGCGTTGTATGGATTTATATTCAATGAAAATCTAGTCAGTGGAAGTGATGATTATTTTATCATCTAAAAAGTTAATTGAATTTTAAAAATGTTTTGCGCTGTCATACGAATCCATTAATACATAAATAAATTTAAAAAAAATAAATATCGCCCGCAGCTTTAAAGCTAGTCACCAAATGATTTGTTTTTTTTTTTTTTGTGCTGATAAAAGCCGGCATTGTCCAATGTGCAGGTAGATTTGACGTGCAGAACGAGTGCTTGGCAGAGGGGTAATACAAAGAAGTTGGTTAAAGGAGGTTAAAGAAGGGGAGAGCATTCGTGATGAGTCCATACTGAATAATGCGTTTGCATATGGAGACGGGTTAAAGTACTTGCCACAGGACACGAGCGCGAGGGTTGCGCAAATTGTTGTGGGTCTTCTGGCATTTGACCGTTTAACACTTGGCAACAAATTATGCAAAATATGAGAACTGAGAGTTCGCCAGGCACTTGACGGGGGGAGTTGCTGGCATGTTTCGTAATTATTTAAAAAGCAAACTACACACATATACTTGTGCATAGGTACACATATAATTGTGTGTGCTTTCTATTGTTTTTAGCATCCTTGATGCAGCAGCAACAGCAACAACAGCAACAACAATGGCTGGAACCCAGCAGGCAGTCAGCGCTGATGCCGCTTCCTTGACAACTTTGAAGACTGTGGGCTGGGGCTGGGGCTGGGGCTGGGGCTGGGGCTGGTGCTGGCACAGGGACTTGGGCTGCGACTTGGACTCGGGCATGGGTCACCTGCAACATCGTCAACAACATCATTGCCATCTGCTTTATTTTGTGCACTTGTGCGCCTTCACTTTGTGCATAATTTCTTAAGCATCAGCAGCGGCGGTCGGCGCCTCAACTTGGGGCATGCGGGAGCAATGCACTGAGATTTTACCATGGCATAGTTGACTGCTGGCGAGGGGCGGGCTGTACGTCTTGTGGCTTTGCCAGTATTTGTTGATTACGTTTGAATATTTGCAGCCGCAATCGAATGATCATTTGATAGCATTCAGTTGCAGGATGTTGCATAGACAAATCGAGCAAAACGCGCCGGGCCCATTGCCATTGCGTGGGCCGCCCTCAGATGTACGGCCAGGCCAGGCCGTATGTTGCCTTTGTGTATCTGAATCTGAATCGACTCTGGTTTTAGCTGCTTTCCTTCAACATTCACCCTCTCTGTGCACCCATTCGCTACTCGTTTTCCGTTTCTCGTTTTTCGTTGGATGCTTGTCTATCTGCTTGCTTCTGTGTTCCATTAAGAGTAGCTCTTGGGCATGAATGTCATCATCAGGACAAGTGTTGCAGCGCGCACACATGGGACAACAAAAACACAAACATCAGCAGCAGCAGCAGCAGCAGCATTTGCTGGGGTGAAAGTAAAAATTACACTTGCAACAGCAGCTGCAGCAGGGCAACGAAATTTTTTGCAAACGTCAAAGGCGAAAACGTTGACGTTTATGATCCTGGAGCTGAAAATTGTTCTGGCGCTGCTGCTGCTACTGCTGCTGATGCTGCTCCAGCTCCTGTTTCTGCTCCTGCTGTTTCTGCTTTTGCTGTTCCCGCTGCTGGGGTTGTACCAGCGTACGAGTTCGTTAAACCTTCAAGCATCGAAGCTTTCATTTCTTGACAAAACCCTCAACATGAACAAACTACAGCATGCCAGTGGGGCGCGAATCTCAGAGCTGCAGTGGCAACAGCAACTCCAGAGCGTCAGGTCGACCCAAGTCGCGATACTCACATCGCAGATACTTTGATGCCGAGTAAGCTGGTTGGGGGCATTCAGCCGGAGCACACTCCAAAAACTTAGCGGGTCGCCCTTGCCAAACCGACGACTGGCAACGGGTCGGGTTGCCGGCAGAGTCAAGCATATTGCGTTAAATTTTAATTAAGCAAGCCACACGCACTTTTCTCTGCACAGGTGGAATGGAATGGGAAGTTGCTCCTTTGTTGCTGCTCGCACCTCGGTGCGTGCTCTCGGCTGAGTAATTTCCAGTTTACAGCTGAAGTCTCGGAATTATTATTTTTTTAAATATTCTTACGTTTATTATTCCCATTTTTATGCTCATTTACCATTGAATAAAGTAATTAAAAATGAACCTAACCAAGAAGTTCACTTATCATGTAATCCCACCAATACGTTTTACAGAGCTAGTCGGTTTTACAGGAAAGTCTGATTCTGACACACACAGTTTTTTATTGATTTTATATATCTCTATATATAAAACTGTTTGTCCTGACTGACTGACTGACTGATTAGTGACTGACTGACTGAAGGAAAATCGCGAAAAACTCCATCCCTCCTTGGTATAAATGGGGGTCAAAGATTTGGTGGGTGACGTTTCGCGCTCAAATTCATTTCCAAGGATCTATATGAAAAATCATTTGAGACGTGTTTCACATTTTTCGCAGCTTCAAAGCATCCTTGGTAAATAGTGCGATTCTAAGATTTTTTTTTTGTGAAGTTTTAAGTTTTATCCGATTTGTTTCAAACTTATTGTCAAAGCTCTACAAAGGAACTTAATGAATGCGTGTTTTAGTGATTTAAAATAATATTGTTGTTTATCGTCCGATTGGATTGAAGCTCATTTTTAATGATCTTTGAGAAAATTTATTTTATACGTGCCACGGGCAAGGCCGGGCGATACCCGCTAGTATAGTATATAGTTTTAATGTATATTAAATATGCATTAGGTACATAAAACGTTTCTATTGTGAAAATTGTATGAGAATCGAATAGTAAGGCCTGGATATAAACGAGAAAGTACGGCTCCTTTGACACACCTGAGATTTAATACACTGTTGGACATTTCCCTTACATAGATATATATACATATACATATATATATATATATATATATACATATATATATGCGATGACTAAAGGTTATAAGAATTGAATGCAAAATGTTTTTGTTGAAAAATGTATCTTTATAGCAACATAAAAAACTTTTAACAGATAAGTAAAATAAATTTACATACACATATAAACATTTGTAATAACACCTTATCGTTTGATAAGGAATGAAAGGTTTCATTGACTTCGACTTCCAAAATGCATAAAAAACTCCGACGGTTTTCACAAAACATGCAATGATTTTTCTCTTCAAAGTTCATATGCGTATTCCTTGGGGATATTTATAGTTAAAACTGCTATGAATTTCGAAAAAATAAATAAATGTGGATGTAATTGTTGCAGTTCTTCCTCGCCGACAGATTTCACTTGAATGCTTATGTTAGTGGATGCTCGTTTCTACAAATTTCTATTTGTTTTTTTTTTTTTTTTTTTGGTTTTTTTTAGAACAATATTCAAATTTAGTGTTTGTTTACGACCGTATCGACTGTAATATTGAGTTTTAACTACCTATATCGTACTAACTATAATTTGTTTTCTTTCTTGTAATATACATTCATTTGTGTGATAATTCCAATTTGTGAAGACGGTTTAGTTAAACTAGGAAAGTTCTTCAGTTGTATCAATCAGTTAAACGATGATTCGGCTATTTGCTGCTGTTGCTCTTTGTCTTACACCAATCCGAAAACAGCATTGGTTGATAGTTTCCAAACGGGTCTAGTGCCATTATAGTGCCATTAACGTAATCATAATCGACGGTGCCACTTTCCGGTATGGCTCGTCTTTGGCCCGCATCCTGGCTCTGTTGGCTCACAGCATCCGGCAGCTGAGCCGGACTTGCTTTCGGCAAGGCGACAGGCTTTGAGCTGGCCATACTTGACGGCTGGCCGTAATGAAACCGCATGGTGCCATACGGCAGTGGTGTTGGAGCTGGCAACAGTTGGAGCCCAGCACGATCTAGCTGCTCGTGCTCCTCATACAAATCCTCCACGATGGGCAGCAGGGCATCGGCCAGCGGCACATTCTCCTGCATGATGGCCGCCTGCAGGCGCAGCTGCTGATGTGTGGTGAGCATATACGTTGGCGATATTTCCGCATCCATGACCAATCTGCCCGGCTCCTGGGACTGGCCCTCATCGACTTCTAGCTGCATCAAGCTGTAGCTCTGAAAGCCCACATTCAATGAGCTGCGCTTCAAGGGTGCAGCCCGAGCACAGCTCAACGGCATCACCTCAATGCTGTCTATATTGGTTGTGTTAATGTTGTTGTTGTTGTCCTTGGGTATGACCTGAATGGTCGTGCTGGGCCCCATGCCGGGAGTGGGTGGATGACGCTCGGGGCACCTAAAGAAATTCATGGCGTTTATCAGGGACGGCATGTCTGGAGTACTATTTCTGATGTTGGGCAACACCCCTGCCGGCAACTCCATGGTCACGTGTGTGACACCCGGTATGGCACGCACGTCGAGCTGCTCCCTTGGCTGCGGCACGGTTAGACCAGTGTACAACATCTCGATGGTCGTGCCGTGCTTATGGACACGATTGCTGAGCGCATACCACTGATTTGCAGCGCCCGGCAGTGGCCCCTTCTTAGAGGATGAGCACATAGAATAAAAGGGACATCTATTGTGACCATCAGTGGATATTTACCTGGCGCTGCTGCTGCTGCTGTTGCTGACGTCGATTGTTATGAGCCTGTTCCTGTCGATGTGGCTGCAGCGGCTGCAGTTGCTGTTTCTTTGGCTTTTGAGCGAAGGGCAGCTTCAGTCTTGAAAGGTTTGCACGATGCTTGTGGCAGCGCCATGACGCATGTGG